AAAATATATATATATATATATACACACACACACACACACACATATATATTAGTGCTGTCAAACGATTAATTGCGATTATTTGCATCCAAAATAAAAGTTTTTGTTTACATAATATATTTGTGTACTGTGTATATTATTATGTATATATATATATATATATAATATACAAACACATGCATGTATATATTTAAGAAAAATACGTTATGTTTACATATTAATTTGGATGCGATTAATCGTTTGATAGCACTAATATACATATACTAAGTGTTTCTTTCTTTTGGTTTTATAAAAAAAAAAAACATAAAATTTTTGTGAACAGTCTGGGAAACCCTGACATTACTTATATTTTTTAGGTATTTTACTTAATAAACAAACAAACAAACATTTTAATTATATGTTTATATAGCACAATTTAATACAACTCAGGTTGCCCAAAGTGCTTCACAATCACAAGCTAAAAAAAAAGCTAGGATCTAGAGGGGGTGTAGATTGCCACCATACTGGACTGGACCTGGATTGTGCAAGGCCTAAATAATAAATAATACCTAATTAAATGAGGTATTTTACTAAAATACCTAATTTTATCTTCATAAAATCTAAAAAGATTCATTAATATTTTTTTTATATTCTAAAAGTGCATAGCAAGTTACCTTTTAAGATTAGGGTTTGAATTTGTCTATAGTGCTTATAACTAGCTTGATTTTTAGTTGAAGTAGAAGTTTAGTCGAAGTCAAAGTCTATGAGATTTCATCATACAGATTAAGACCAGACGGTTTTTCAAAAATCTGATAATAATATTTTGATATGGGGTCTTTATTGTGTGTGTGTGTGTGTGTGTGTTACAGAGAGCTGGTGCACCTGGTCAAACACCTGTGTGAGACTCTGAAGGCTGGGAAGTTAACCTGCGTGCTGGTCATCCCTCCTTCAGTCGCTCCGGGGTAAATGAGGATTTATTGTTTTTCCATCCCAGCACTTCTTATGCTTTGATTCTGTTTCCATCAGCACCTGTCTGTGTCACACACACACACACACACACACACTGACAGACACACAGACACACACACACACACACACACAGACAGACAGACAGACAGACACACACAGACACACACACACTGTCATTTAATAATTTTCTTAATGTGTATATAGTTTTTCATTAAATTTGATTTCAGTTTTAGTTATTTTAGTACATCGTTAAACTAAATTAAAATGAAAAATGTTGCCTAGGCAACTGCTTGAAATACATTTTTTAAAAAGGTTTTATTTAGTTAATATTTAGTTTTTCCGAGTAATTAATTCATGTATTGGATTATTATTAATGTAATGTATTATTATTATTATTATTATTTTGGTTTTAGATTTGAATTAATTATAATAACCCTGACCTGTACAGAAACATAGGTCTTTAAAACATGACAATTAATTTAAAAAATAAAAGTAAAAATGCACCCTGATATCAGTTTCCTATGAAATCCTGTTTCCACCTCAGAATAAAAAAAATAATAAAGGTAATTGTAACTTCTCACAATTCTGACTTTTTTCCCCCTCAGAATTGTGAGATAAAAAGTCGCAATTTTTAATCCTGTGGTGGGAACAAGCTTCCATAGTTTCCAATATGAAGTTATTATATTATTTATATTATATGATATTAATATTGTGCATCCTATTTAAAGTTTCCTTTAACAGATATTTTATTGATCTGTCATTATATTTTTAGTGGTGATCAACGTTGTAATGCACATTTTCTTGTTTAAATATTTTAGTTAATTTTTTATGTAATTTCCCCATGTTTGTAAACATATAAATATTTTTTGTAAATGTGTAACTCTCCATCAGCCACCTGGCTCCTCAGAATTGATCACTGAATTCATCAGCCATCATGAGTTATTCTGAAGTGTTTCAGCCAGTTGTGAGCGTTAAGGTGAAGTGTTTGATTGGCTGTGATGCTGTTGTGTTTCAGGCCGGGTCCGAGCGCTCCGCTGCCCTGGATCAGTGAGTGTGTGCTGCAGCTCGCTCCTCACAGCCAGTGGAGACACAAGATCCCGCTGGGAATCAACCTGTACGGACTGGACTTCAGCAGCCACGGCGGAGCGGAGCCGCTACTGGGAGAGAGGTACACGCTTCATTCATTAAAACACTCATTTAGCCAAATTATTGCTGTCAGATGGAATTAAATGTGCTAATTATTTGTTCATTATTTATTTTAAAATCTAAAAATATTTTACAATTTTATGTAAAATATGAAATATTTTGTCATGTAACAAAATATTTATATTAAATAATTTTATATAAAAAAAATTTGTTGTCAAACCTTGTCAACTTTAGTCAAATGTAAAAAATTAAACTTGCATATTTAATAA